GAATGGACTCCCTGATGCCGTCGTTCTTTCCGAAAGTGTTAAATCCTTTAAGTGCAGACTAGACGCTCACTTGTTGAGAACCTACTGTACATACAATCATGATTGTTTTAGCGGCGGCAGTTTGCGCCTGGCTCACACATATCGCTAACTTCTTAACTTTTCGCATTTGCTGATGTAATTGATGACTTTATTTCTGTTTATCGACATGAATAGGGTGCTCAAGGGCGAAAGCCTCATTCCCTCAATAAACTGACTTAAACTGACTGGAAACCGGAAAGGGTATGTAAGTCTTTAAGAGACTCAAAGCAGGCGTTGTTTTCAGTTGGCCAGCGTTTGGAATCCTTAACGCCCTCTTCATAAATGCCTCAATTTTTGGTTGCCCGTTGACATTTCCCGTTCCCCTTTTGAAACCCTCTATCAAACATGGTCTGTGTTCTTTTAACTAAGAGGTTTTAAATTCTGATCTTGCGTCTGTCCGAATAGTGACCAAGGAATTCTCAGGTTGAGGGATCCATTGTTGGGGTTTGTGCGTTTTTCATTATTAGGTTTATTTTATTAATGGTATCGTATGCACATCGAAATCTGTTTTTTGACTTATACGGCTTGCTCGGATTGGCAAAGAATTCAGTAGCAAGTCTAACGCGTTGTCGTCAACCTGTGATACCCGTGTTGTCTTAAACCAGCTTTATTGAGACAGCTGTGCTCCTTGCCCTTGCGGCCCCCTACACAAGTAAATTGTAAAAAGTACTTGCAGGTTAGACTGCCAATCCCAACAACAACAACCGTCCAAAATACGTGTATTAGGTCACCATCTCGCTTGTCTTTATGTAAATATGTTTTCATGTTGCGGTTCGCTTACAGCCGTCAACGATCTTATGACGTTGCTCTCCCTAGTGAGCCTCCAGTGAGTACATTTGGGGAGGAATTCACCTTTATACGTCGGTAATCTCTGGGCGTAGATCGCATACCCTAAATTTGTTCTCGTGTTCTGTAGATCTCGCAGAATAAGTCATCATTGGAAGCCTCGTAAACCTTGCAGGGTCCACAGTGTTGAAAGCGTTTGGTTGCCCACTTGCGAACAGTTGATGGATTACTCTATCTTCAGCATTTTGTAAGGCACAAAGTTCTAACAAAATACTAGTGTATGGACTACTGACCTGGATTCTTTATCAAAGTGCGACAACATTTTTGCTTTACAGAGTAAATGCCAGAGTTTTAATAAGCTCTCTAGCCGACCGATCACATTCTGCAGGTCGTCTTTGTCCTGGCAGTTACGAGCGATATGATATATCGTTGATTTTCGCAAAATGCATATGATCCGCAGCTCAGATCATTTGCACAGTTGGACATTTAAAAACAGTAACGAGCTTAGCTCCAAAAATGAGCCCTGGGGTTCCTTGACCTCTGGGATTGAATATTTTGATTATAGTTGAAGTATGCATATGACTGGCATCGGCATATACACAGACGTCCGGTCAAGATCCTCTCATCACTAATGAGCTGCTGTGTATGCATGCCGTCGTAGTCACTTCGAATGTCGGATAAAAGGACAGACAGATTTGTGCATGCGTCGGTAGTCAAGGTTCATCTTATTATTTTGTTCTGTGAGTGAATTATATTTAGTCTGCCAATCTAAGCAATGTGAAAAATGAGAGCTTGTTTGGTACTTTCAGGATGCTCATAAACTCTTGATTCATTATACTCACCATAATTTAGGTGATATTGGATAGGAAGCTTATGACCCTTAAGTAGTCGCCAACTCCTGACTGGCATACTTTAATGAGCGAAATATTATGTTCTGCCTTTCTGTCTGAAGGCGGGATCAAAGCATCAGAGTTGTTTTTAAAGAAGACCCAGGGGAGCTTAAAAGGTTCGCAGAGAAGATCCCTTTGAAGCCAGCGTTGTAATTTTGATCCGTCTAATCCCTGTTATTCCTTTTGAATTATTGTCTAACAAATGACCCTAATTTTATTTACTGGAAGCTATCAAGCCTTGGATAATACTGAGAAAACTCCCACATTATATTTATTACCAGAATTTCAAATGTCAGAAATATCCTACGTGCAGACGGAACTATACAAAAAAGGCAACGACTGAGATTGCAAAATGAACGGTCCTGTCCACTCCAATTCTTTAAGAACACATGTCGGGAGTGATCTCAGAAAGTACTTACCCATGCTATCTGCACCGCAAAACGTTGAAGAATTATTAATTATTTGGTCGAATGTGAAGGACGAACCACTCCATGCCCTGGACCATGGCGTCGTCAACCCCAATTATTTTCTCGCTTTTAAGACAGGGTCATATGTCACCAAAATATTGTCTGCACTTTCAGCACAACACAAGCAATATCGCACTTA